TAAAAGAACAAGATACTTTACTCAACAGGACCATGTTCCTACAGGTTTAACTAAAGGTTCCTGAGCTCCACAGCAGTGGTTCTGTTAAAAGAACAAGATACTTTACTCAACAGGACCATGTTCCTACAGGTTTAACTAAAGGTTCCTGAGCTCCACAGCAGTGGTTCTGTTAAAAGAACAAGATACTTTACTCAACAGGAACATGTTCCTACAGGTTTAACTAAAGGTTCCTGAGCTCCACAGCAGTGGTTCTGTTAAAAGAACAAGATACTTTACTCAACAGGAACATGTTCCTACAGGTTTAACTAAAGGTTCCTGAGCTCCACAGCAGTGATTCTGTTAAAAGAACAAGATACTTGCCCCCCGTGACCCGGAGCACAGGATAAGCAGTTGACGATGGATAGTTTGTGTTTACTACCCTGACTGTACACTGTAACTTTTACTGTCCTGTTTTAATGTGTTGTTTTTTTCCAATTTCCCTATGTTGCTTTTAAGGTTTTTTATATTTCCCTGTTGCTTTTATGTTTTATGTAAAGCACTTTGAATTACCTTGTTGTTGAAATGTGCTATACAAATAACCTTGCCATGCTGAATGTGCTTTGGCACATAAAGTGATGGATGAAGCATCCCTAGTGGCTTTGTGTAAAACATCTGGAGCAGGCTGTGTAGCTGTTACACTTCCTCTAAATAACGGGTTACTGTCTGAGCTGCAGACATTTCTAACTATGTGATGCCGAGCCACCTGCACACGCACGTCATGAGCAGCGTCCACAGTGTTCGTGTAGTTACTGTCACGCCACAGGGGGGAAACAAACGTTCAACACTGCAGGTTTGACCTGATCTGAATGTTCAACCTCCAGTCAGCTGCTCCTTTGACTACCTCCTAGCCGTCACATTATCCTTCAGACAGGAATCCATTTTTCTCTCTGTCTCTCGGTTAGCAAAGTCACTTCAGAGTTGTTCCAGATAAGAGATCAACACTATAAACGCTCCGCCTACTGACAGTCACCATCTGTAGGAGATCCCGCAGACTGTTTTCTACTTCCTGTTTGCAGCATGATATCTGTACAAAGTATCTCTGCAACCCCCACAGCAGAGACTGAAGCCCTGAAGCCCAGCGCAGGTTTAAGATCTGTCAGGAAGCCGGCTCACCGCTCTGGGTTCAGATTTTAGATTTAGTTTGGATTTTCTGTATCCTGCATGTGGCAGCTGCAGCTGTCATTATTATTTTAATTTTTCAAAGTCATTTTATCAAACACTTGTCTCATTAATATTTATGCAATCATCCTGAAAAAGAGACACAAAAAGATCATTAGAATAATGATCGTAGTGACAATTACTTACTGCTATGTCATGATAATAATAACAAACCTTCAGTACTTAAAATCTTAAATGTTTCTGGCATGGATTTCTTTCCTCACTGAGTAATAAGTCTTATAGTTTGTAAAAGCTGCAAGCAGACTGGCTGACTGGGGAACCCTGAGCAGACCGAGCCTGATTGGTTGTTAGTGAAGCAGATAACACAGCAACATCTGTTTCCTGTCCGTCCATCCTGAAAGAGGATCCCTCCTCTTCCTGAACTCACTAGCATTTGTCTGTTAAAAGGATGTTTGGGTGTTTTTCTTGAATGCAGGGTCTGTGGAAAGACAGTTTGTAATGCAGGCCAATATGAACAACACTGAAACACAAACAGACTGTGATGAGTTACCATCCTGTGCAGAGAGTCGATGAGGTTCTGCAGGTCAATGTCGTCTCTGTACGCTTTGATGTTTGCCAGGAAGAAGCCGTTAATCCACTCTCGGACCTGGCTCTGAAAAACCACCGCCAGCACCGCCGCCGTCAGTTCCAGGATAAAGATGAAGCCGATCACGCCGGAAAACTGATGAACCACCAGGACTGGTTAAATGTTCAACAAAGGCCAACATTTCTAACATATAAACTTTAGCAAAAACTTCAGCAGACCGACGATTCTAACGTATAAACTTCAGCAGACCGACGATTCTAACATATAAACTTCAGCAGACCGACGATTCTAACGTATAAACTTCAGCAGACTGAAATATTTAAAGTATAATTTCAGCAGACCGACGATTCTAACGTATAAACTTCAGCAGACCGACGATTCTAACGTATAAACTTCAGCAGACTGAAATATTTAAAGTATAAATTTCAGCAGACCGACGATTCTAACGTATAAACTTCAGCAAACCGATGATTCTAACGTATAAACTTCAGCAGACCGACGATTCTAACGTATAAACTTCAGCAGACTGAAATATTTAAAGTATAAATTTCAGCAGACCGACGATTCTAACGTATAAACTTCAGCAAACCGACGATTCTAACGTATAAACTTCAGCAGACCGACGATTCTAACGTATAAACTTCAGCAGACCGACGATTCTAAAGTATAAACTTCAGCAGACCGACGATTCTAACGTATAAACTTCAGCAGACCGACGATTCTAACGTATAAACTTCAGCAGACCGACGATTCTAACGTATAAACTTCAGCAGACCGACGATTCTAACGTATAAACTTCAGCAGACCGACGATTCTAACGTATAAACTTCAGCAGACCGACGATTCTAATGTATAAACTTCAGCAGACTGAAGTATTTTAAGTATAAACTTCAGCGGACTGAAGTATTTTAAGTATAAACTTCAGCAGACCGACGATTCTAACGTATAAACTTCAGCAGACCGACGATTCTAACGTATAAACTTCAGCAGACCGACGATTCTAACGTATAAACTTCAGCAGACCGACGATTCTAAAGTATAAACTTCAGCAGACCGACGATTCTAACGTATAAACTTCAGCAGACTGAAATATTTAAAGTATAAATTTCAGCAGACCGACGATTCTAACGTATAAACTTCAGCAGACCGACGATTCTAACGTATAAACTTCAGCAGACCGACGATTCTAACGTATAAACTTCAGCAGACCGACGATTCTAACGTATAAACTTCAGCAGACCGACGATTCTAACGTATAAACTTCAGCAGACCGACGATTCTAACGTATAAACTTCAGCAGACCGACGATTCTAACGTATAAACTTCAGCAGACCGACGATTCTAACGTATAAACTTCAGCAGACCGACGATTCTAACGTATAAACTTCAGCAGACCGACGATTCTAACGTATAAACATTAGCAGACCGAAGTATTTTAAATATAAACTTCAGCAGACCGACGATTCTAACGTATAAACTTCAGCAGACCGACGATTCTAACGTATAAACTTCAGCAGACTGAAGTATTTAAAGTATAAACTTCAGCAGACCGACGATTCTAACGTATAAACTTCAGCAGACCGACGATTCTAACGTATAAACTTCAGCAGACCGACGATTCTAACGTATAAACATTAGCAGACCGAAGTATTTTAAATATAAACTTCAGCAGACCGACGATTCTAACGTATAAACTTCAGCAGACCGACGATTCTAACGTATAAACTTCAGCAGACTGAAGTATTTAAAGTATAAACTTCAGCAGACCGACGATTCTAACGTATAAACTTCAGCAGACCGACGATTCTAATGTATAAACTTCAGCAGACTGAAGTATTTTAAGTATAAACTTCAGCAGACTGAAGTATTTTAAGTATAAACTTCAGCAGACCGACGATTCTAACGTATAAACTTCAGCAGACCGACGATTCTAACGTATAAACTTCAGCAGACCGACGATTCTAACGTATAAACTTCAGCAGACCGACGATTCTAACGTATAAACTTCAGCAGACCGACGATTCTAACGTATAAACTTCAGCAGACCGACGATTCTAACGTATAAACTTCAGCAGACTGAAATATTTAAAGTATAAATTTCAGCAGACCGACGATTCTAACGTATAAACTTCAGCAGACCGACGATTCTAACGTATAAACTTCAGCAGACCGACGATTCTAACGTATAAACATTAGCAGACCGAAGTATTTTAAATATAAACTTCAGCAGACCGACGATTCTAACGTATAAACTTCAGCAGACCGACGATTCTAACGTATAAACTTCAGCAGACTGAAGTATTTAAAGTATAAACTTCAGCAGACCGACGATTCTAACGTATAAACTTCAGCAGACCGACGATTCTAATGTATAAACTTCAGCAGACTGAAGTATTTTAAGTATAAACTTCAGCAGACTGAAGTATTTTAAGTATAAACTTCAGCAGACCGACGATTCTAACGTATAAACTTCAGCAGACCGACGATTCTAACGTATAAACTTCAGCAGACTGAAGTATTTAACATAAACTTCAGCAGACCGACGATTCTAACGTATAAACTTCAGCAGACCGACGATTCTAACGTATAAACTTCAGCAGACCGACGATTCTAACGTATAAACTTCAGCAGACTGAAATATTTAAAGTATAAATTTCAGCAGACCGACGATTCTAACGTATAAACTTCAGCAGACCGACGATTCTAACGTATAAACTTCAGCAGACCGACGATTCTAACGTATAAACTTCAGCAGACCGACGATTCTAACGTATAAACATTAGCAGACCGAAGTATTTTAAATATAAACTTCAGCAGACCGAAGTATTTTAAATATAAACTTCAGCAGACCGACGATTCTAACGTATAAACTTCAGCAGACCGACGATTCTAACGTATAAACTTCAGCAGACCGACGATTCTAACGTATAAACATTAGCAGACCGAAGTATTTTAAATATAAACTTCAGCAGACCGACGATTCTAACGTATAAACTTCAGCAGACCGACGATTCTAACGTATAAACTTCAGCAGACTGAAGTATTTAAAGTATAAACTTCAGCAGACCGACGATTCTAACGTATAAACTTCAGCAGACTGAAGTATTTAAAGTATAAACTTCAGCAGACCGACGATTCTAACGTATAAACTTCAGCAGACCGACGATTCTAACGTATAAACATTAGCAGACCGAAGTATTTTAAGTATAAACTTCAGCAGACCGACGATTCTAACGTATAAACTTCAGCAGACCGACGATTCTAACGTATAAACTTCAGCAGACCGACGATTCTAACGTATAAACTTCAGCAGACCGAAGTATTTAACATAAACTTCAGCAGACCGACGATTCTAACGTATAAACTTCAGCAGACCGACGATTCTAACGTATAAACTTCAGCAGACTGAAGTATTTAACATAAACTTCAGCAGACCGACGATTCTAATGTATAAACTTCAGCAGACCGACGATTTTAACGTATAAACTTCAGCAGACCGACGATTCTAACGTATAAACTTCAGCAGACCGACGATTCTAACGTATAAACTTCAGCAGACTGACGATTCTAACGTATAAACTTCAGCAGACTGACGATTCTAACGTATAAACTTCAGCAGACCGACGATTCTAACGTATAAACTTCAGCAGACCGACGACTCTAATGTATAAACCTCAGTAGACTGAAGAATTTCAAGTATAAACTTCAGCATACCGACGATTCTAACGTATAAACTTCAGCAGACCGACGATTCTAACGTATAAACTTCAGCAGAATGAAGTATTTTAAGTATAAACTTCAGCAGACCGACGATTCTAATGTATAAACTTCAGCAGACCGACGATTCTAACGTATAAACTTCAGCAGACTGACGATTCTAACGTATAAACTTCAGCAGACCGACGATTCTAACGTATAAACTTCAGCAGACCGACGATTCTAACGTATAAACTTCAGCAGACTGAAGTATTTAACATAAACTTCAGCAGACCGACGATTCTAATGTATAAACTTCAGCAGACCGAAGTATTTAACATAAACTTCAGCAGACCGACGATTCTAAAGTATAAACTTCAGCAGACCGACGATTTTAACGTATGAAGTTCAGCAGACCGACGATTTTAACGTATGAAGTTCAGCAGACCGAAGTATTTTAAGTATAAACTTCAGCAGACCGACGATTCTAACGTATAAACTTCAGCAGACCGAAGTATTTTAAGTATAAACTTCAGCAGACTGAAGTATTTTAAGTATAAACTTCAGCAGACTGAAGTATTTTAAGTATAAACTTCAGCAGACCGACGATTCTAACGTATAAACTTCAGCAGACCGACGATTCTAACGTATAAACTTCAGCAGACTGACGATTCTAACGTATAAACTTCAGCAGACTGAAGTATTTAACATAAACTTCAGCAGACCGACGATTCTAAAGTATAAACTTCAGCAGACCGACGATTCTAACGTATAAACTTCAGCAGACCGAAGTATTTTAAGTATAAACTTCAGCAGACCGACGATTCTAACGCATAAACTTCAGCAGACCGAAGTATTTTAAGTATAAACTTCAGCAGACTGAAGTATTTTAAGTATAAACTTCAGCAGACCGACGATTCTAACGTATAAACTTCAGCAGACTGAAGTATTTAACATAAACTTCAGCAGACCGACGATTCTAACGTATAAACTTCAGCAGACTGAAGTATTTAACATAAACTTCAGCAGACCGACGATTCTAACGTATAAACTTCAGCAGACTGAAGTATTTAACATAAACTTCAGCAGACCGACGATTCTAACGTATAAACTTCAGCAGACTGAAGTATTTAACATAAACTTCAGCAGACCGACGATTCTAACGTATAAACTTCAGCAGACCGACGATTCTAACGTATAAACTTCAGCAGACCGACGATTCTAACGTATAAACTTCAGCAGACTGAAGTATTTAACATAAACTTCAGCAGACCGACGATTCTAACGTATAAACTTCAGCAGACTGAAGTATTTAACATAAACTTCAGCAGACCGACGATTCTAACGTATAAACTTCAGCAGACTGAAGTATTTAACATAAACTTCAGCAGACTGACGATTCTAACATATAAACTTCAGCAGACCGACGATTCTAACGTATAAACTTCAGCAGACTGAAGTATTTAACATAAACTTCAGCAGACCGACGATTCTAACGTATAAACTTCAGCAGACTGAAGTATTTAACATAAACTTCAGCAGACCGACGATTCTAACGTATAAACTTCAGCAGACCGACGATTCTAACGTATAAACTTCAGCAGACCGACGATTCTAACGTATAAACTTCAGCAGACCGACGATTCTAACGTATAAACTTCAGCAGACCGACGATTCTAACGTATAAACTTCAGCAGACCGAAGTATTTTAAGTATAAACTTCAGCAGACCGACGATTCTAACGTATAAACTTCAGCAGACCGACGATTCTAACGTATAAACTTCAGCAGACCGAAGTATTTTAAGTATAAACTTCAGCAGACCGAAGTATTTTAAGTATAAACTTCAGCAGACCGACGATTCTAACGTATAAACTTCAGCAGACCGACGATTCTAACGTATAAACTTCAGCAGACCGACGATTCTAACGTATAAACTTCAGCAGACCGACGATTCTAACGTATAAACTTCAGCAGACTGACGATTCTAACGTATAAACTTCAGCAGACCGACGATTCTAACGTATAAACTTCAGCAGACTGACGATTCTAACGTATAAACTTCAGCAGACCGACGATTCTAACGTATAAACTTCAGCAGACTGACGATTCTAACGTATAAACTTCAGCAGACCGAAGTATTTTAAGTATAAACTTCAGCAGACTGACGATTCTAACGTATAAACTTCAGCAGACTGAAGTATTTAACATAAACTTCAGCAGACCGACGATTCTAACGTATAAACTTCAGCAGACCGAAGTATTTAACATAAACTTCAGCAGACCGACGATTCTAACGTATAAACTTCAGCAGACCGACGATTCTAACGTATAAACTTCAGCAGACTGACGATTCTAACGTATAAACTTCAGCAGACCGACGATTCTAACGTATAAACTTCAGCAGACTGAAGTATTTAACATAAACTTCAGCAGACCGACGATTCTAACGTATAAACTTCAGCAGACCGACGATTCTAACGTATAAACTTCAGCAGACCGACGATTCTAACGTATAAACTTCAGCAGACCGACGATTCTAACGTATAAACTTCAGCAGACTGACGATTCTAACGTATAAACTTCAGCAGACTGACGATTCTAACGTATAAACTTCAGCAGACTGACGATTCTAACGTATAAACTTCAGCAGACCGACGATTCTAACGTATAAACTTCAGCAGACTGACGATTCTAACGTATAAACTTCAGCAGACTGACGATTCTAACGTATAAACTTCAGCAGACCGAAGTATTTTAAGTATAAACTTCAGCAGACCGACGATTCTAACGTATAAACTTCAGCAGACCGACGATTCTAACGTATAAACTTCAGCAGACCGAAGTATTTTAAGTATAAACTTCAGCAGACCGACGATTCTAACGTATAAACTTCAGCAGACCGACGATTCTAACGTATAAACTTCAGCAGACCGAAGTATTTTAAGTATAAACTTCAGCAGACCGACGATTCTAACGTATAAACTTCAGCAGACCGAAGTATTTTAAGTATAAACTTCAGCAGACCGACGATTCTAACGTATAAACTTCATTCTTATATAGTATCCATCTTATATAGAGTATTTAAAGTATAAACTTCAGCAGACCGACGATTCTAACGTATAAACTTCAGCAGACCGACGATTCTAACGTATAAACTTCAGCAGACTGAAATATTTAAAGTATAAACTTCAGCAGACCGACGATTCTAACGTATAAACTTCAGCAGACCGACGATTCTAACGTATAAACTTCAGCAGACTGAAATATTTAAAGTATAAATTTCAGCAGACCGACGATTCTAACGTATAAACTTCAGCAGACCGACGATTCTAACGTATAAACTTCAGCAGACCGACGATTCTAACGTATAAACTTCAGCAGACTGAAATATTTAAAGTATAAATTTCAGCAGACCGACGATTCTAACGTATAAACTTCAGCAGACCGACGATTCTAACGTATAAACTTCAGCAGACCGACGATTCTAACGTATAAACTTCAGCAGACCGAAGTATTTTAAGTATAAACTTCAGCAGACCGAAGTATTTTAAGTATAAACTTCAGCAGACCGACGATTCTAACGTATAAACTTCAGCAGACCGACGATTCTAACGTATAAACTTCAGCAGACCGACGATTCTAACGTATAAACTTCAGCAGACCGACGATTCTAACGTATAAACTTCAGCAGACTGACGATTCTAACGTATAAACTTCAGCAGACCGACGATTCTAACGTATAAACTTCAGCAGACTGACGATTCTAACGTATAAACTTCAGCAGACCGACGATTCTAACGTATAAACTTCAGCAGACTGACGATTCTAACGTATAAACTTCAGCAGACCGAAGTATTTTAAGTATAAACTTCAGCAGACTGACGATTCTAACGTATAAACTTCAGCAGACTGAAGTATTTAACATAAACTTCAGCAGACCGACGATTCTAACGTATAAACTTCAGCAGACCGAAGTATTTAACATAAACTTCAGCAGACCGACGATTCTAACGTATAAACTTCAGCAGACCGACGATTCTAACGTATAAACTTCAGCAGACTGACGATTCTAACGTATAAACTTCAGCAGACCGACGATTCTAACGTATAAACTTCAGCAGACTGAAGTATTTAACATAAACTTCAGCAGACCGACGATTCTAACGTATAAACTTCAGCAGACCGACGATTCTAACGTATAAACTTCAGCAGACCGACGATTCTAACGTATAAACTTCAGCAGACCGACGATTCTAACGTATAAACTTCAGCAGACCGACGATTCTAACGTATAAACTTCAGCAGACTGACGATTCTAACGTATAAACTTCAGCAGACTGACGATTCTAACGTATAAACTTCAGCAGACCGACGATTCTAACGTATAAACTTCAGCAGACTGACGATTCTAACGTATAAACTTCAGCAGACTGACGATTCTAACGTATAAACTTCAGCAGACCGAAGTATTTTAAGTATAAACTTCAGCAGACCGACGATTCTAACGTATAAACTTCAGCAGACCGACGATTCTAACGTATAAACTTCAGCAGACCGAAGTATTTTAAGTATAAACTTCAGCAGACCGACGATTCTAACGTATAAACTTCAGCAGACCGACGATTCTAACGTATAAACTTCAGCAGACTGACGATTCTAACGTATAAACTTCAGCAGACTGACGATTCTAACGTATAAACTTCAGCAGACCGAAGTATTTTAAGTATAAACTTCAGCAGACCGACGATTCTAACGTATAAACTTCATTCTTATATAGTATCCATCTTATATAGAGTATTTAAAGTATAAACTTCAGCAGACCGACGATTCTAACGTATAAACTTCAGCAGACCGACGATTCTAACGTATAAACTTCAGCAGACTGAAATATTTAAAGTATAAACTTCAGCAGACCGACGATTCTAACGTATAAACTTCAGCAGACCGACGATTCTAACGTATAACTTCAGCAGACTGAAATATTTAAAGTATAAATTTCAGCAGACCGACGATTCTAACGTATAAACTTCAGCAGACCGACGATTCTAACGTATAAACTTCAGCAGACCGACGATTCTAACGTATAAACTTCAGCAGACTGAAATATTTAAAGTATAAATTTCAGCAGACCGACGATTCTAACGTATAAACTTCAGCAGACCGAAGTATTTAACATAAACTTCAGCAGACCGACGATTCTAACGTATAAACTTCAGCAGACCGAAGTATTTAACATAAACTTCAGCAGACCGACGATTCTAACGTATAAACTTCAGCAGACCGACGATTCTAACGTATAAACTTCAGCAGACCGACGATTCTAACGTATAAACTTCAGCAGACTGAAATATTTAACATAAACTTCAGCAGACCGACGATTCTAACGTATAAACTTCAGCAGACCGAAGTATTTAACATAAACTTCAGCAGACTGAAATATTTAAAGTATAAACTTCAGCAGACCGATGATTCTAACGTATAAACTTCAGCAGACCGACGATTCTAAAGTATAAACTTCAGCAGACCGACGATTCTAACGTATAAACTTCAGCAGACCGACGATTCTAACGTATAAACTTCAGCAGACTTAAGTATTTAAAGTATAGACTTTGGCTGTTTTAACATACAAACTTCAGCAGACAGATGTTTTCCCTCAGAGCCCCCACACAGCCGGCGAAGCCCAGGATGAAGGTGACTCCGCCCACCACCAGGACCAACCAGACTGGGTCGAAACCATGCAGCCGAGTCACCTGGGTCAGATCCAACAGGACTCCCTGTAAACCACAGCAAAGCAGTTCAGGAAAGGTAAAGCAGTAAGAGAGGTCAAACCTTTAGATATAATTATGATGTGATGATCAATTTTAAACCAACTTTCACTACCTTAACTTAGCAACTCATTTCACTCTTCAAGAAACAAGAAATAAATACTGTTGTGATTGTAATTCAGTGTGTTCATTCACCTTTTCACTCCACGCCCAGAAACCAGCTGAAATGAAGGCAGCTCCAGCCAGCTGCAACACAAAGACACACACCAGCGTTTAGTCTTATCCAATACAGAAACAGACCTGCATTACTTTCTTGTCTGAATATAAAAGCGTTATGTACTGGTTGATGTGAGAGGCATGCTGGGATACTTGTCTGAAGCATAGACTGTATAAAAGAAGAGGGAACAGCTGCCATGAAGTCACCCGTTGGTTTGTTGACTACTGTTTTAAAGCCTCGAGTTTGGCAGTTTGGCCGTCGCCATGTTGACTTTTTGCAGCAAGGCACTGGACGTGACCATATTTGGACGAGAGAGTGGCGCAAGCTAGCTTGGATAGCAAGGTGCAATTTTAATTCACGTTAACTGAGATATTAGCTGGGATGCTAACTATGTTCCTCTAAATGGGACCATAATTTACTAAATGAACATCATGCTGTGTTGAAGAAGACTTTACTGACGGAATAAATCAGCTGAGAAGTAGAAGCATTTTCTCAGAGACTTCTATACAATCACACTTCTTTCTGCAGTCGCCCCCTGCTGGCTGTCAGAGAGGACGCAGGTTTAAGGCTCTTCAGCCTTCAGCCCTGCGTCCTGTGGGTCTGAAGTCAGCTGCTGATAAACCAGGAGTGAGACCCTTACAGGCCGTTCACACTCTGAGACCCAACAAGAACAGAACTGTGACTGATGAGGTTTCACAAGAACACATTTCCTGCTCCCTCAACCACACAGGATACCACTGACATCACTTCCTGTCAGCCAGAGTGCCAGACAGGAAACAGCTTTCAAAGACAACACAGCTCTGTCTCAGTCAGTTTAACTTGTGAACATTCTGTGTGACCAGGTAAACAAGTAAACATGGGATCAGTGGCCTGGACTATGAAGGGAGTTCAGCCTGCTCAGAGTGAACTCTGGGAAACAAACGGTCTGCTACACTGGAGTTAAACTACAAAAGGAGGATCAGAGGTTGTTGGTTGAGTCCGTGTTAACTCGTATAAAAAGAGGCGTATTCGGCCGTGCAGGCAAAGTTTTTTTTCCTCCAGAGGAACGCACGTATCAGGAAATTCTGAATGTGACACATTAACGGCTAAATCTAATATCGTGGCGGCCGACAAAGCCAGGGAGGCTTGTTGGACTAAACTTGTAGCCTGATTCTCTTCAGTGTTCTTCTTGTAGTTCAGATCTCTAGCCTGTATTTTATGTGGAATATAATGAAGATGTAAAGGTCCAGCTGCACATGAGGTCCACTGTAACAGAAGGAGACGTCCACGTGCAGGAGAACCTCCAGTTAACCGCCAACAAAACCTGCTGGGAGCGGTTCAGGGATGAAGCGTAAATCGCCATGGCAACAGACCTCGGGTAACACCCATCCACCTTTTGTAGTACGGGTTAACCGGGAAGTTACTCCTGAAGCTACCTGGATAAGCCGGGTACCTGGCTTGGTAGTACAGGCCACAGGTAAACATGTGATCAGAGTGCACCACGAAGCAGGATTTGAGCTTATCCAGGTAACTTCAGGGTTAACCCTGCTGGGTTTTCAGCACCACGAAGGTGGTTCACTTCTTCCCATGGTAACTTATGCTGAACGGCTAACCTGCTCCGGAGCAGGTTCTGTTCCAGATCAGAGACCAACTCTGTGAAAATGACGTCACCATCTGTAGGAAATCCCACAGACTGTTTTAGCCAATAGGCTGCTTTATGTTTGCAGCGGTGATGTGGAGAAACTCTTGACTCCAGCGATATAATCCTGCAGAGACTGAGCCTGCAGGTTTTTACAGCACAGCAGGATCAGCCTATTTACTGCCTTTAAATGTCTTTAATATTTTTAAAGAAAGGGGTTTTATTTTTCAATATTAGGAGCAGTTTGGTAGGGATATTGAAATACTAAATTTAATATGAACGTAGGCTGTTTATTTTAGGTTAGTATAGCTTTCTTAGGCCTGCTACAGAGACTGCGGTCATGTTCATGTTCATCATGTGAGCTTTCAGCAGCCTAGATGTTGACATTCAGTCTTTCAGACACTATTTGAGCTCATTTTATGGCATGAATGGAGTTTTGTTTCATTGCTTTATGAAGTTAATTTAGAACAACGTTTGGAACACTTTTAAATTAATCTCATTTTTGAAGGGACGAGTTTTTTAAAGTGAGGGGGAAGACCACTTATTCAGCGCCCGAGTCTTTTAATGTGGAGACACACAGCCGAGCTGAAAGAATAAGGCTGATATTTTCGTCCAGCTCATAAGAACACTTTAAATCAACACAATATACTACTGTTCATTTAGACATTCACACCGTCTCCCTGCATGTGTCAGCTGCAGCCGTGCTGCTGTCGTGTTTCTGTAGTGTTACGGTTCAATCCTCGTTCATAAAATATGACGCTCTGCTGACAGTGGACCTGTTCATGTCTGTGACTGGTCATCTGCTGCTAACTCCGCCTCTTTTATGCTGGATTGGGAAACCCTGGGTTGACTTACCGAGTCGATAACCAGCTTCGTGGTAGCGCTTATCCCGACTGTTCGGGTTAGTGAAACCACATAACGAAAACATATCCTGGGTATGTTGAACTTGCTTCGTGGTGCAGGCCCCAGGTAAATATGTGATCAGGTAAACATGTGATCAGGTAAACAGGTAAACATGTGATCAGGTAAACAGGTAAACATGTGATCAGGTAAACAGGTAAACATGTGATCAGGTAAACAGGTAAACATGTGATCGGGTAAACATGTGATCAGGTAAACAGGTAAACATGTGATCAGGTAAACAGGTAAACATGTGATCAGGTAAACAGGTAAACATGTGATCAGGTAAACATGTGATCGGGTAAACATGTGATCAGGTAAACAGGTAAACATGTGATCAGGTAAACAGGTAAACATGTGATCAGGTAAACATGTGATCGGGTAAACATGTGATCAGGTAAACATGTGATCAGGTAAACAGGTAAACATGTGATCAGGTAAACAGGTAAACATGTGATCAGGTAAACAGGTAAACATGTGATCGGGTAAACATGTGATCAGGTAAACATGTGATCGGGTAAACATGTGATCGGGTAAACATGTGATCGGGTAAACATGTGATCAGGTAAACATGTGATCGGGTAAACATGTGATCAGGTAAACATGTGATCAGGTAAACATGTGATCAGGTAAACAGGTAAACATGTGATCGGGTAAACATGTGATCGGGTAAACATGTGATCAGGTAAACATGTGATCGGGTAAACATGTGATCAGGTAAACATGTGATCGGGTAAACATGTGATCAGGTAAACAGGTAAACATGTGATCGGGTAAACATGTGATCAGGTAAACAGGTAAACATGTGATCGGGTAAACATGTGATCAGGTAAACAGGTAAACATGTGATCAGGTAAACAGGTAAACATGTGATCAGGTAACTCACCCAGAAGATGATGTTGTAACTGAACATCAGGTATTTGTAGCAGCAGCTGACCTCAGCGTTGTCATAGCGATAGTAGTACATCTGTCACAACACACTGCAGTTACATACTGTACACGTACACTGGTACTGTTAGCGAAACAGAACTGGACCCCGGTACTGTTAGCGAAACAGAACTGGACCCTGGTACTGTTAGCAGCATCAAGAACAACAGAACTGGACCCCGGTACTGTTAGCAGCATCAAGAACAACAGAACTGGACCCCGGTACTGTTAGCAGTATCAAGAACAACAGAACTGGACCCCGGTACTGTTAGCAGCATCAAGAACAACAGAACTGGACCCCGGTACTGTTAGCAGCATCAAGAACAACAGAACTGGACCCCGGTACTGTTAGCGAAACAGAACTGGACCCTGGTACTGTTAGCAGCATCAAGAACAACAGAACTGGACCCCGGTACTGTTAGCGAAACAGAACTGGACCCTGGTACTGTTAGCAGCATCGAGAACAACAGAACTGGACCCCGGTACTGTTAGCAGTATCAAGAACAACAGAACTGGTCCCTGGTACTGTTAGCAGTATCAAGAACAACAGAACTGGACCCTGGTACTGTTAGCGAAACAGAACTGGACCCCGGTACTGTTAGCAGCATCGAGAACAACAGAACTGGACCCCGGTACTGTTAGCAGTATCAAGAACAACAGAACTGGTCCCTGGTACTGTTAGCGAAACAGAACTGGACCCCGGTACTGTTAGCAGCATCAAGAACAACAGAACTGGACCCTGGTACTGTTAGCGAAACAGAACTGGACCCCGGTACTGTTAGCGAAACAGAACTGGACCCTGGTACTGTTAGCGAAACAGAACTGGACCCTGGTACTGTTAGCAGCATCAAGAACAACAGAACTGGACCCCGGTACTGTTAGCGAAACAGAACTGGACCCTGGTACTGTTAGCAGCATCAAGAACAACAGAACTGGACCCTGGTACTGTTAGCAGTATCGAGAACAACAGAACTGGACCCCGGTACTGTTAGCAGCATCGAGAACAACAGAACTGGACCCCGGTACTGTTAGCAGCATCAAGAACAACAGAACTGGACCCCGGTACTGTTAGCAGTATCAAGAACAACAGAACTGGACCCCGGTACTGTTAGCAGCATCGAGAACAACAGAACTGGACCCCGGTACTGTTAGCAGTATCAAGAACAACAGAACTGGACCCCGGTACTGTTAGCAGTATCAAGAACAACAGAACTGGACCCCGGTACTGTTAGCAGTTAGCTTGTAACTGGTTCGGTTTCAAGTCTTTAACTTTAAATGTTAGCATTAACTTTGTTAGCTTAGCTTAGCTCTGGGTGTGAGCTAGTTAACAACTGGGCGCCTTTGCCTCGCTATGTTTCTGTAAAGTACCGACACGGTACCGAATTGTTCACCGCCCATCCGGTTCCTTTGCGCGGTACCGAAGAGCAGCGTTACCGTGCCGTTATTAGCCGGTAATGTGCCGTTATTAGCCGGTAATGTGCCGTTATTAGCCCGTAACGGTGAACCGGAGTTCCTGGAGAGTTTGCTGCGGGCTAACAGGAAGCGGCTAACGCTGGAGCTAAAGTGAAGTACAGGGAGCGGGTTCCTGTAGCAGAGAGGTAGCAGCCTCACCTGAGCTCAGAGAGAGGGAGTCACCTGTCCTTACCTCTCAGCAGTCTGTAGAAACACGACCAGGCTCCTCCGACTCTGTCAGCAACACACCCTGCTGATAACGGACCGCTGCTTCCTCCAACAACAACAACAAGCAGCCAGCTGCGGCTTTCAGGACTTTACAGGTGCTGCCGCCCCCTGCTGGCCCGGAGGGGGAAGGACCAAAGCTTCTGTTCTTCACCCAGCAGCTCTCTCCGCTTCAGTATCCCAGGTAAAGGTTTCCTGTCCCAGCTGTTTCTTTAGCTTCTCCTTTTGCAAAGCTTGTATTTATACCTACCTGGCAGGTACCCAGCACCATCTGAAGCTTCTGGGATCTGAAGACCATTTCCAGCATTAAATCTTCTCTATTCTTTCCAAAACTGTAAATTCAATTCAGTTTTATTTATACGGCACCAAACAAACGCCACTCAGATCATTTCTCAGTTTATGGAGCAGAGGCTCGATGACCAGAGAACAGAGGGCAGCCCGGTGTGACCCCCCTCTGACCAGTGAAAGGAGCTCTCAGACCCCATTCATTTTTAGAACACCTGCAGTGTGACTATACAGAACCTGGATCTGGGCTATAAAGCCTGGGCTGAACCCAAAGGCAGCTAGAGTTCACCACAGATCCAGGAGTTCAACCCGGGTCTGCAGCCAACGAGCTAGAGACCTCCAAAACATCACACATTAAAGTGACACTGCCGGCCACACAGTATGTCTGATCAGCGTGGATAACAGCAGCCGTCACCTCTGGAAGCCTCGGGGCCAGGACCCGGGACAGTACGTTATAGTCTGTGCAGAGCAGGGAAACTGGTCTCCAGGTCTTCAGCTCCTGCAGGTCTCCCTTCTTGGGCAGCAAAGTGATGAGCGCCCTCCCGCGGCTCAGAGGCAGCCGACCTCTCCTCCAACAAGTCTTCACCCAACACCGACCAGCAGGGCCGACCAGCAGGGCCAGGAGCCCTGCCACCCTGAGAACCCATCAGCGTAAAGTTCATCAAGGCAAACACGAGCCTCCAACTTCACCCTGGCCTCAGCGTCCACCTGAGGAAGAGCAGTGAAAAAGCTGCGGCACACACCTGTCAGCTAATTTCCTAATCTCAGAGGAGTCTGAGAGCGCAGAGCCACTGTCAGGTCGCAGGGAGGGAACAAGTTTTCCTCTCCAGACCAAAAAAGAGTCCGTCTGCGGGACGTCCAGGAAGCGTGACCTGACCAGAGCTCCCTGTGCTGCGGCGCCCAGCAGCATGGCCAGAGCCGCCTTTTTAGATTTAAGGGTCTAAAAGAATCTACCAAACCCTGCAGTTTGTTCAAAATGTTCACAGGCAATCCAGCCGTGCCAGAGAAAACACCTTCCAGTGAGTCCAGGTATAAAACATCCTCCACACATCAGACAGCTCACGAGCTTCAGTCTGAACCTGCGTGAGGAAGCAACATGAGGTTCTTGATGATTCCTGTCAAGCTTTGGATTTTCAGTACATTTAAAAACACCTCCTCATCACTGTTACCGTCACACAGGACATTAAGCGCCGCTAACCCGTCTGCTGCGCCTCAACAAAAACAAGGTTTTCAGCAATAAACAGCCCTCAATCATTTTCTCCTCGACTTTGTAGGAAGAAGGTAACAAAGTCCTGGAAACACATTCCCACCGCTCCTCTACAGCTGGACCCCCCAGACACTTTCATTATCTACTCTGTGTTTCCATCTGTGTTCTTCAGCTCCAGCAGCTTGAAAGAAGCAGTTCTGTTAACTTCGGCCCTCCATTTAGCTTCAGAGCGCCTCTGTTGGAATCCCACATGGAGAAAAGAGGCCTGAGAAGAGAACAAGAGGAAACTGGTTTCAGCATCAGCAGCTATTTGTGCTTTGACTCTGAGGATCGGATAGACTTCCTGCTCTGTTAGAACATCATCTGCAGAGTTTCCTGATCTTTCTGTCAGAGACTCAGCTGACTCAACAAATAGCTCAGCAGCCGGAACGCTACAACCTGTGAGGCGAGGGTCAGGTGACCAGCAGAGACCACAGACGGCGTCGGGAGTGAAAACTCTGCCTCACTGATCCACATGGACAAAATAACAGCTGTCAGGACCAGGTTCCAGGTGTTCCTAATAAACCGGTCAGCTCGCTGTGAATGTGTCGGTACACTCTGCGTGTGTGATGTGATCTGTTACCGTGACTCCTCGCCTCCAGCAACCCATCACCGTCTCCATGGCAACAGCAAGTGATGCCACACGTTATGGATAATTTCGTCTCATCAGTTGGGGGGTGGGGGGTCTGAATCACAGCTTCCAAGGTTCAGGTTCAACACTGAAACAAACTCACATCGTCTGCAGCACCAAAATCTGTTCAAAAGAGCCCACATTTAAACCTGTGACTCAGTAAGCAAGTTTGAAGGTGGAACTGACCGGATTCTTTCCCAACTAGAAAGAACCTTTAGTTTGTGTACTCTGAGACAGATCTGGATCTAAACAGACGAGAACCCGGGCCTGTTCCCTTCAACAATCTCTCATTCAGCTTCAGACACTCTGAGAACTCCTCACTGTCTTTTTCTGTCTTGTTTAATTCACAGAGAAGAACTTGTGGTCCAGGTGAACCTGATCTGGGCTCTGTGGTTGTTTCCTCAGAGCTGGGAGAACAGATAATCCTCAGTAATCCCACTTAATCCAACAATATGGGGCTGGTGAGAGGAAGTAATAAGAGGGGATCGGGATCAGATGATGGCTGAGCAGCAAAAAGCCCCGTTAGTAACACATTCAGACTTTCCTCTGTATAAATGCTGAAAATGTGAATGGAGTTTGGAACAGAGAGTAAATGTGAGCAGAATACCTGAGAAACACGCTTATTTACACCTGATAACAGCTGATCCTGGTCCATAAATATTCATCAGGCCACACTGAGCTGCATTAATATTCATTATTCTCCCCTTTCATTTAGCAGGAACAGTGCACATAAATGACATAGATTTCATCTGCAGTCCTTGGACAGGTGTTTTACTGTCACATAAATCATGAGAATGTGCAACAAAAGAGATGTGAATCCAGACATTGTACTTTTACCATTTAACAATACCTTTATTGAATTTTGAACAATCAACACAGGATGCAGAGTCCTCACGTATCACTTCCACGCACGTCTTTACACGTTTCACTAATTGACATGTCTTCCCAGCCACCAGAACGTGGCTTGTGTGCTTAAAGTTCAGCGTTTAAAGGACTTTTTCTATTCATAATCTCGGACAGACGCTGGCTAACATTCTTCCACAATATTTGAACTCTCGGGCTTTCCCGTAAACAGTGCAGTAAAGAACCTTCTGATCAGAGCATGTGGAGCACGTATCTGCAACATTAGGAGATATCCGATGTAACCGGGGTCATGTGCGTTCTCAGGAGCCATTCATATAGAAGTGATTTAAACTTTGGATCCACAGTCTGTTTTTAAACGGGCACTCTCCCTTCTATGTGCATTTAAGGTATCCGATGCTGAGGAGGTGGAAAACTTCCCCAACACGTTTCGTCCGGCGCTGCCAGTGGTGCTACTCACACCATGCCTTTAGACTTTGATGACATGCAGCTTTTTCAGGAATTTGATATCTCTGACATAACTGATCAAAAGAGAACCTCCCTCTGTCCAGATTCTGAATCCTCCATCTTTAAAACCAGGTTTAATAAAGTAAACTGAGATATGATGGATACATCCCAGCCCAGGTGTTGTGGGAGGCAGAGACTGTCTTCCTAACAAAGGGACACCTTTAACTCAGTACCACATCTGGATATTTTATGAATATGAATTTAAATCTGGAATAATTAATGGATTAATGGTTAACTGGGCCACCCAATAATACCACCCCCCTTTCATAAGGCGTGTAGTAAGTGAAGGCTGGCTCTCCTGTTATTCAAATCGACTAAGTCATTTAGTAACTGTACCGTAACATGCATTGGACCGAGGGAGTGAAGGCGCATTTCATTTAAAGAAAACAACAACAACATTCCCAAGCCTGACAATTTTAACAATAGTCACAGTAAATATTTTTTTTAAAGGTAAATTACATGCACACACACAAACTAAAGTACATACGAAATCAATAAATAAGAAATGGGGGGGGTGGGGGTCTCCAGATTCTCAGCCAAAAGTTAAAACGTAGGAGGCTGATGGCAGAGTGGGGGGGGTGATCTCAGCAGCACCCAGAGAGGAGAAATGGGAAATAAATGGTTCCCAAACCAAACAAAACGTTTTGTTGCTTATCAAATAGCTAATCCCTTCAGTGGAGCTCGTCATGAAGCCAGTCAACACGAGCTGCTCTGATTTTCAGTTTAGAAGAACCAGCAGTTAAAGAGCAGGTGAGGGCGCCCTTATGAAGATTTGAGAGTGATTGTTGAGCCCAACGCTACTGACAGGGAATTACAGATAGATTTCCAGAGAGTCATCAGTCTTGGATAAAGCCAGAACATATGGAGGCGTGATGCAGGGGCTTCCCTACATCCGTCACAAGTAGGGTCCATGTCTGGTTTAACCTTTGCTGGTCTGTCCAATAAATGCGATGTCCAAATGTGAACTGTATGAGCGCATATAGAACTTCTTTCCCCTCCTCATCTTTAAACGTATGATCCAAATCGTCCTCCCAGATTTGTCTTGAATCCAAGTCGAACTCGGTCTGTAGAACAAGCCTCTTTTATTATATTTTTTTATACTGTATTTCTTCATCCAATCATTGATATGACCATATTAGACTATTGATCGAGTGATTCTCTAACACTGTCCAGTGAGTTGTTAAAGGTCCAGTGTGTAATATTTCTGAGGATCTACTGACAGAAATGTAACATAAGATCCATAACTATGTTTTCAGTGGTGCATAAAGACCTGACATAATGAGCAGTTATGTTTTTATTACCTTAGAATGACGCCAAGTTTCTGCAGTCAAACTGCGCTGCAGAGCGCGCTTCGTCATCATGGGGTAGTGTAGATGCAGACAGATGACAGCAGAAGTCATGGATGTAAAGGTGTAAAATATGTTGTTGGATTAATTTCATGTAACCTAGTTATTCTCCTGCCTGTGGTTTGGCTTGGCTGGTTAACGAGACAATCAGCTGATCAGTAATTGGCAATAAAACGTTAACGTTAACTTAGAGCATGGAAGTGATCAGCCAGCCAAACCTTTACTGCCCT